TCCGGAGGGCAGGCCCGGCCCGGCTCCCTGCGAGGCTGCGGCGGCGGCGGATCAGGCGGAGGGCCAGCTCCACTGGGAGACGCGCTGCAAGGAGGAGGAGGAGGAGTCGGAGCCGGGCAGCCCGTCGTCCGAGAGCTCCGCCTGCCCGGCGCGGGAGAGCGAGGCCGCGGAGGACGACGGAGAGGCCGCGGAGCCTCCGAGAGAGGAGGGCGTTCCCGGGAAAAGGACGGTAATCCGACAGGGAAAGCAGGTGGTGTTTCGGGACGAGGACGGCACTGGGAACGACGAGGACATCATGGTCGACTCAGGTAACTTTCCCAGTGCTTTAGCAGGAGCCCGATACCATACTGCTGTCAGGTGCAGACAGTGTATTTCAAGACTGAGGAAAAAACAGCTCGATTGAGTAAACTCAATTAAGATGTGGGGCAAGAGAGGATATGATGTTCCGACTATCCATCTGTGCCTTTTCTAATCTGCTCTGAGCCTATCCCAGCGGGCAAAGGGCACAAGGCAGGATGCATTCTGAACAAGACGTCCGTCCACTGCAGGGCCAGCGTGCAAACGTCCGCACGATTACGCCAGGGCCAGTTTTCCCAGTAGCCAATTAACGTCCCAGTATGTCTGGTCGACTGTGGGACCTCACTGGAGCACCCAGAGTTAACGCACACAAACGCCCTCCATGCAGGATAGCACCCCTGGTCCAGAATTGAACCGGGGGCCCTGAGCGCGTTAGCTGTGCTAACTGCTGCACCATCGTGCCGCCCATTTTGCAACTCCTTGGCAGGCAGTCCTGTATTTCATGTTTCCTAATTTCTCAGGATGTGGCTGGTTAATAAAACAGGTTGTGGTTTTGAACACTGCAAATGATTTGCGTGTTACAGGGATTGGGCCCTGTACATAGGCAGTACTGCCTGCATTACTGCCTCGAGGTCTGCACGGGCATGAAATTGAAGCCCGGACCCGAGACCTTGAGACCCGACCCGACCGAGCCCGAATGGTACTGTCAGCTCTGAAACCCGAACCCGAGATCGTTCACTGTCTTTTCCTCTCGGGGCGAGTAGACACACATGCACACACGGAGAAGATTCTCACAGACGTGGCTTTACGACGCTGTGCGCTTGAGTTGATAGACAAGGCCGTGCGCTGAGCAAAAACTGGTATTCTGCAATACTTCTGAAAGTGGGGAACGGCTGATAACGGTAGTAGGCCTAGCAAAAACGCAAAGTGAACATGCACGCAGGCGTAACTGGTTTTAGCTCTTGTTACACACATATGAGAAAGAGAGCGAGCAAGCGCGCAAAATGAGTTCCGAATTTCTTCTAATAAAAATACATTTAGAACATAAAATAAT